CGGGGCCGCGCTCCGCGGCGGTGCGAGGCCCCGCGGGGCCGCCGGGCTCCGGCAGTCGTCCCCGGGTGAGAGGGGAGCCTGAGCGTACCTGTCAGGCTTTGGCAGCCCGGCCCTCGCTACCCGGCTGCCCTTTTTTTGCATATGGGGAGTCCGGCAGGAAGAAAAGCTTCGTGCCTTGCCTGGGGCGCTGCGGTTCTTCGGTTACAGTCGGTATGGGCTCGGAGGTTACCGGCGGCCTGGGTAGACCTCGCCGCTCCCCGGGTTTCTGCCCTGCCCTTTGCCAACACTTCAGCGGGTGCCCGAGAGGCAGATTTATGCTCCCTTTGCTGACGGGGAGTCCTCCTATGGCAGCAGCGTCCAGAGGCACCTTTGCCTAGCCTAAAGGGTAGAAAGTAACTTAAGATTTTGTCCAGCTCTCTGGTTCCTTTGGCAGCCTTTAAAGTAGGCAATGCTTCCTTGCCAGCGTAGAAGGAGGTGGCCCTGTACTGCTACTTTGCTTCCCTTGCCGCCTTCTTGCTTGTTGTCTGTGCGCCCGCCTTCTAGAGGAAAAAAAACCAAAACCGAAAGAAAACAACAAAAAACTGACGGTACTTCTTTCGGGAAGACATCCCTGAACTGGGCTTCTCTGTCTGATGGTTTTGCGTTATTGTTGATACTTTTGGTATTTTTATTTGGTTGGTTTTAGCGTTGCAGTTCCTTTCTTTTTAAGTTTAATTCAGAAAGACGTGTGAGAATGGAACTTGGAGGAAAGAGAGGTCCTTGATCACTGGTAGAAAATCCTTTTCTTGTGGGTTCTAAGGGTAAAATGCAATATGCAACTGTTGTGACCAAGAGTGAGGTTTGAAGTGCCATCTTAAAAAGGAAGAGAAGGGAAAAAAAGGTGTTTTCTTCTTTTTAAGCATTGAAGTTATTGAAGTAACAGTTGTATTTAAAAAGGGTTCTGGACAGTGCAGTTTTTTCTTCTACAAATACAGTGCTTTAAGGAGCAATCTTAACCCTAGTATGATCTGTACTTGCAAGATTTTCTGATACTGTTTTCAGAAAGGAAGAAAACTTTCATTTTTTTATTTGAGCTGAAACTCTGGTAGTGTGTAATTCACCTTTATGTGGTTGGGCTTTGAGAGCACAGAGGATTGCCAGTGATTTGAGCCTGGAATTTCACTGAGCTCTGATATGGTTACGGTGCCATGAATCAAGAAAAACATCCCCTCAGCGAGAGGCAATCATTTTCACTCAAGGTGCATCTGAGACTTCCCCAGCACTCTGTCACAGCAACCTCTGAGTCATGCAGATGTTCTTGATCTGAATGCAACTTTTGAGTCCAGCGCCTGGACAGAGGAATAGGCCTCCGCCAAGTCAGCTTGACTTCAGCTGTAGTGTAGAAAACCATTTTATTTTGTTTTCTGGTGTATGGTGAATAGAACTGCCCGCTAGAAGAAAAAGGGAGACCAGGACTGCTGTACTGGTTTCCTTTTACGTGGCGATTTTACACCCATTGCATAGGTTAGGCTGGCTGAAGTGAACAGCCCCATGGAGGCAGGGTGTGGTGAGTGATCTCTTGGATATGCTCAGCTGACTGGATTTATTTTGGACTAGACAGGGCAAGGGTTTGGACAGTGTGCTGTAAGGAGCAGTGTTGCCAGGGATGACAAAGCCTAGCCGGATCCTTGCCATCAGTTCCTGGTCCTCTTGCCATGGAATTTTTGCTGGTGATTTTGACAGGAATGGGCCAGTTCTCCGCATCCTTGCTGTAGGCCTTTGCTATTAGAAAAGCATGACGATTGTGCTGTCTGGCTGATAGCTTTGGCTGCCCTTTCTTATCGTGTTGGATGTTCTGTTGCTCTGCCTTTGTGTATATTCCACCTCGGGAGGAAGTATAGGATACTAATACCAGGCCGTAGCTAGCAGCCTGGCTGAGAGGTAAGCTTGATTCTGCTTTGCCCTTTGAAACCTCGTGACTGGACCTCAGTTACATGTGGCCAACTCCTCTCCTTATCAGCAGCTCGCTTCTGTTGCGTGATAGTGGTGACTTCTAGGGAAAAAGAATGGAGCCTGTTTGGTTTTTTTATAAGGAAGATGTTTTTCCCATGTAATTCTCTCACAGCTTTATAGCTGAGCTCTTTTCAGTGGGACAGGCAGATCAAATTCTTTGTCCCTGAAGAGATATTACGAGGGTGTGATGGTTTGCTGTTGATGATGTCATACTACCCATGCTCTGTGAGGTTTTTCTCTGCCCTTTCCCAGCTTTTTAAAGATTTTTTTCTGCGTTGGCAAATGTGAACATACTTGTCCTTGCTGCTACTGAGATGCAGAGCTGTTTCATAGGAAGAGAATAGAGCAAAATTATTAACAGAAAATCATTCTCAACGGTGTCAATTCAGAGAAGTGAGAAGCTGGAGGGAAGAGAGGACACTTCTAGGGATAAGTCTGGAATGTGAAGGTTGTTTGCTGGAACCTCTACTAGAACTAGGATTTTTTTGGCACAGATTTTGCCGGCTCAGCACAAAGTTGATCTTTCCAGGTCTGTGTGTGTTTATTTAATGTGATGTCTCTTGCGCAGCACAGCATACGGCAGTCGCAAAAGAAAAATCCCAGGTCAATGAGTATCTGTCAGCATGGATGAGTCAAAGGGAGGGTTTGTTAGCAGAGGGTGGGATGATCCCCTTACCCCTCAGAAGACCTGGGAAGAGTCTCAGCCTCTGAAAAGAAAGAAGAGTCTGTGGCTGACAGTCTTGAGCGGTTTGTGGGGAAGGTACTACTGAACTCTGAAAGCTCGACAGATGACACAGGCTGTGCTGATTCTTTCTGAGTTGTGAATCACCCAGAACCTCACAGGGAAAATACCTTCTGAGTCCTCTCATGGAGACTGTCAGTTTTTGCCATGCCAGCCAGGGCTAAAGTCAAACAGGGGGAATTTTTTTGAGATAAATCCTGGATTAACTATAGCACACAGACTGCTAGAGTGCTGTCTCTGGCAATGTGCATCTTGAAGATGCCAGAGATATTTTTTTGTTTTTGAATCTGTGTGTTGTCTGTGACCTTTTCTTTGGGGAGTGCCAGGAGAGGTGATAGGACCTTGTGTTTTTATTCAGGTCATAGCTAGTCAAGTGCCTTAAGGGTGAGGGTTGCTGTTTTAGGGTGAGGAGAGGATTTGCACAAGGTGATACATTGAATCAGGAGCAGGCTTAGTAAGGTAAATTGGGTCAAAACTCTAGTATATACTAAATCCTGATCTGAAGTACTGTGTGACATAGTCCACTTAAGCGTCCAAGGTGATTGTAGAACCAACAGAGGGATAAACTGCTGCTGGTATGGTTTCTGCCAAAGCCATTTGGCATGGGCATGAAGTTTTATGGATGGCAGAGCAGAGTTTCCCTTTAACTTCTGGAGGGACAGTTAATATCGCAGCAGTGTAGGGCCTGGGGGATGGACAGATGGTGGAAAACATGTGACTTCTCTCAGGGAAGGCAGTACAAAGAAGTTCCATCAGGGGAATGGGAAGTTCTGTCTTCTCATCTTTCTGAGAGACAGGAGAGGTGTAAGGTAGGGCAGGTGAAAGCACAGTGCCAAGATTCTTCTGATTCTGACCACAGCGCTCTGCTGCCTGAGAGTTTGACCTTAGGAAACCCATTACATAGGACTGTGTCTGGTTTTGGGTTTGTAAACTACCAGTGATGATGCTGATCCATGTCTGAGAAGGGCAATGCAATTGAGACTGGTGGATGTAAAGAAACTGGAGAACTTTATGCCAACAGGGTTTTAGGCACTGTCTTTTCACAGCCTTACTGTTGTGCTTAAAATCAGAATAGTTCTGGTGTCTTGCAGAGGGTTAGGAGAAAAATGCTGAATCTTGGCTTTTGACAGTGTTGGTTTTGGAAGATAAAGAGGCTGTACAGTCCCTTTAGGTAGAAGTATGTGAGGCTTTCTCTGCTCTCAGACTGCAGGGTTGGGAACAGCAGTAGGTTTTAGGTAGGGGCCTTCATTTTCTCTTTGCAGTAGTTGAAATAAAATCATTGATTAACTTCTTGATCTTGGGAGCTAGAATGATAATTAATGTTCTGGTATAGCAGGGTTTCTGTCTCCATCTGATGATGCCATATGTTGCTGCTGAGTCTTGATTTCTTCTGTGAATCTGCCAAAGCTCAGAAAAATCACAAAATTTAATCCAACATAGTATTACACTATTTTGAAGGTGCTTGTTACTCTGATACAAGATAGTGTTTTTTGTACTGTTCACCCTAATGGCTATGTACATAGTAAGTGCAGGTGGCATTTCATTGTGTAATGCAGTCTTTCAGATAATGATAATTTGCTGTAACAAGCAGGAAGCAGTTGTGCAGGGGCCTAATGGCAGGGATGTGTTTTTTTAGCTCTGACTCACAGCTGATTTAATGTTGCTTTTTGTCTCTGCTGTGGTTGCCTTGTGCTGTGTTTGACCTGGACCAGAAGGAAGGCAGGATGTTCCAGTCAGTGATGTCTGTGAGATTCTCCGCGTCTGACAACATCACGCATTCGACTGCCCTGGTGACAGCACTGGATAATGTGACAACTTTGTCCCCGACAACAACGCAGGCAATTAATGACACCAACATCACTGTGCCGCACAAGTGCCTGTTGTTGCTCTATGAGGACATTGGGAAGTCCAGGTGAGACGGAGGAAATGGGACCACGGTCTGACCCTGGGCCAGGGGAAGGAGCTTGCTTTCTCAGAGTTTGGTTGAGAAGGGACTGGGGCTGGTGCCTTCCCTTCTAGATGTTGAAGAACAGGAAAAAACCTGTTTTATTTACTTTTTGCAGAGTCCGCTACTGGGATCTTCTGCTCCTGGTTCCCAATGTGCTTTTCTTTATGTTTCTTCTCTGGAAGCTACCCTCTGCCAGGGCCAAAATCCGGGTCACTTCCAGCCCAATCTTCACTACATTCTACATACTAGTGAGTACCGCTCTGTGCTTTTGAACTGATGAGTGAGTGTTTTTTTTTATTACCACTCATGAACAATATCACTGAACTAGTGGAGAGAGAGCCTAGACCAGATCTCACAGGGATAAAATCTATTTTTAGTTGAAGATGTACTACAAGAAGTAGACAGATATTTTTTTTTCACTGTCTGAATTCTGCTTTTCACAGATTCTTGGACCATACCTGCTGGATTTGAGTGGATTTTGTTCTCCTGTGGTGATTTTTTTTTTTCTTTTCCTTTTTTCTTTTGTTGCTTTGTTGTCTTGGAATCTAGTATCTTACACTTTCCTTGCTCCTTGCAGTAAGTAGCATGTGACACAAAACCAGCTTCTCACTGAGGTAGTGAAAGTGAAACACTGGAGAATAATTTCTGTGAAGCTGTTGAAAAGCTCGGTCATCTGCCGTAGAAAATAGTGATGTGACAGGGTTCTGATTAGTCTGGGAATGTAGAAACCCAAACCCCTTAGTTTCTTTCCCATCATAGCAAAGTGGTGGCTGACTTGATGATGTTCTTGATACTACTTAAGGTGGAAACAGAATATACAGGCAGTACAGTTACAGTTCTCAAACATCTAAGTTCTTGTGTGTTCTCTTCTGCCCAGTTTGAAAAGGCACAGGCAACTTTTGATCACATTAAGGTAGTCTTGTTAGTAATCTCTGAACATCATACCTATTAACTGTGATACTGCTCACAGGGCATGGTAAATACACCTAAGGACCTACCTGAATTCGTTTACAAGTACCATTCAGAAGCTTTATCGTAGATGCTTTTTGAGATCTTGCCTTGCCTCAGTGTGTAGCATAATGTGCTGGCTTTTCTTCAGTTAGATTAGTACAGGTTGTAGAAGTAAATGTGTGTTCGAATTGGGTTAGATGGGAGGCATCCTTCTTTGGGCTGCATATGGGTACTGGCATGGCAAAACCCAAGCAGCATCAAAACCAAATCTGAGCTAGTAGCCTCAACTGAATCTTTGGTGGGAAGCCTTGTTAGCTCTGTCAGGCCTGGAGTGTGGGTACTGGGCTTGTGCACAGTTTTGGATAACCAAGTATGCACACAAATGCTCCAAACTTTTAAAAATACTACCAGCCATTTCCAGTCTGGATTTAAATCTTCTTTTATGCTTCCAGTAATGCACATGGCTCAGTAGGAAGGTCATGCAAAAGGCTTTGAAAAGCAAAACTCCTGATAAACCAAAGGGAAGAAAAAAGTGAACTGACTTTATGCTGTTGACTTTTTTGAAACAGAGTGAGAAATGGAAAGTGATGAAACAGCCTTAGAGGAAAATGCTTTCATTCAGTTTGATCTTCTAGAGTATGTTATTGGGAAATGAGCATGGAAGTGTGTTCTGTGAGCATTTCCTTTCAAACGGCTGTTTGTCATGTCTTGAAGGAATGCTTTCTTGTGGAGTCAGTGATTAAAGCAAAGTTAATAGGTTGTGAAGAGTCTCTGTCTACTTAGAGAGGAAGCAAAAAGGGTGTGTTTTCCTTTCCAATGAGTTGTTGCTGCTCTAGAACACCATTATACTCGGGGACCATTCTTTTTTGTCAGTGCTTTGTCCCAGAGTTTTCTACCCCAGGAGGGAGTGTTGTATTATTCTTCTTTCATGCCATTTGCATCCCATCTTCCTCTAAGGAGGAAATATTCAGCTGTAGGTGGCTTATTGGTCATTTCCATTCTCCAACCACCTTAGAATCATCTTGGACTCTTTTTGTTCTCTGATAGATTTAGCTGTCTCATACCTGCATCATTAGAATTAGCTGGTGACTTGGAGAATTTTATCTGGAAAAATCTGCTTTCTTAGAGGGTAAGTCTGCACAGCAGAGGGTAGGTATATCCAGCTGAGCCCTTAATTGCATTGTATGGCTGTGACAGCACAGGAGTTGGTAAATTAGCCTTGCTGAACTCCATGCTGTCATGCTTAAATGATATATGAACTGACTTGGGTATCTCTATGTTGCACTGTGCAGCAGGGTAAGATGTTTTAAAGCTGTTGGCTGCAGCTGACTTTTTTCCTCTGCATTCCTGAGCATTGTCAGTGTTGAGTGAGAGAACTGCAGATTTCAGTTTTATCACAGATCTGAAATGTGGTAGTTGATATTGAGTAGCTTCTGTTATCTGATGTGATTGGTTTATTCAGCCATACCAAGCACTTGATCTTGTAATTTGGAGGGATATGGTTTTTTCTCTGGTTTTTCCCAGTGGACTGAAGGGTGGGAAGACTGTTTGCCTGTAAAGATACTGTTCTAAGGAGTGAATGAGACGTCTTCAGAGCTGTTTAATCTGACAGTTGAGGAAATTTGTTCTTCCTAAATTCTAAGCCAGTACTCCTACATCTAACAGGCCTGAGGAATCTTCTTCAGCAAATTGACTCTAATCTGCTACAGGAAATCCTTGGTACACATTATCAGGCTTGAAAGCTGACCTGGAAATGGTATTCCAAAAGGGTTTCTGGTCACTACTGCGTATGTGCCTTTTCACATGAGTTCACTTTTGGTATCTTTTTGTGTAGGTATTTGTGGTGGCTTTAGTTGGTATTGCCCGTGCTGTTGTCTCCATGACTGTGAGTGCCTCTGATGCTGCCACAGTTGCTGATAAGGTAGGTACAACACTGATTTTGGAGGCTCTGCTTTGTGCAGTTCTGATCACAGCAATCTGCTATGGCTTCCTTTTTATGTGCATACAAGAAGAATGTGTTGTTTTTGCAGTACTCATATCTGTGTGTACTATGGAATCCTGTGCTGATAGCTGTATCTAAATGATCACAACATCCAGGGCTGTAAAACAATGGACTTCCTAAAATAGACACACAAATAGTAGCAGCAAAACTTTCCTGTTGCAGGGATGGAATGACTCTGCTTTGCAAGAGCTAAACATTCAGATACCTTTAGTGGATAGGCAAGACCTGGCCTTTGTTAGTCTTGCAATATTTGAGTGGCTCTTTGAAAAATATTTAATTCTTTTGTATTGAAAGCAAATAAAACTGAATTCCCTTTTGAGACTGATGTCTGAACATCCTTGCAGCCACTCTGAGCGCAGGGTGAACTCTTAGCAAACAGGAAATAGCTTTGTACATGCTGTTCCTTTGTAGTCATTTGACTTGTAGCAGAATATTACCTAAACCAAAAAGCTCTGTAGTTCTTGAGCTGTTAGATGAAGATGAGCCACCCACAGACTACAGGTCTTCTGGCTTTATTCTTTAGGATCAGTGTGGTTCTTTTGCTTTTCCCTTTAATATTGCCTGTCAAAGCATTGTAATTCACTGCTGCTTGTGAGTGGCTGGATGTTTGTAGCATTTCCATTCGCCTTTGTTGAATAGATGTAGGTCCAGGACTTGAATAATGGTGAGAAGGTGCTTTTCTTCAGCTATCCTGGTGTTGCTGCTAAGTGCACCTTGCTGGGAAGTCATGCAGTAAGACAGATACTCTGTCAATTTTTCCTGTAAACACATGTTCTATCATGTCTATTATGTTTCTTTTGTTTTCTCTCATTCATATGTGTGTATACATATATATATATATATACTCACACACACTGTGTATTTTCTGAGATTAGAAGTGTCTCATCAAATGCCTCTTAAAATATTGTGTATCCTCAAGAGAAAGTGCCATTCAGTGTTCAGAGGAAAAGTATTAATAAGCCAGAATCTGGGTTCTTGTTCTAGGTTTGCCATTGATTTGTTGCATGACTACCTGGAAAGTTGTCTCACCTGCTGGTTTTTTTGGTCTTGTTTCACCAAATAAATCATGGGAATGAAAATAACAAGCTGGAAGTGGGGAGGGCTTTAGAGTTGAATTTACTTCAGATTTAGGGAGCAGTAGCTTTGGAGGAGTGCAGAATACTGAGTTTGTCCAGTCATAACTGTGCTGCAGAATCTACTGTGTTAAGAACTGGCCCTGTTTAATATACTTTTGAGGTAGTCTTTGGTTTGTGCTCCTTGGGAGTACAGCAGAAAGAACACATCCAAGACAAGTGACAGATCCTCAAGTGTGGCAAACCATGGTAACTTCCTCTCTCTGTAGTCATGCTATTTGCTTGCTCCCACACAACTGCTCTGTTTCACAAGCATGGACAGGGCTTGGAGCAAGCATATAATTAGTATCCCTACAAAGCATGAGGAGGGTTTGTGGAAATGACCTGCTTCATTCAGAGGCTGCCATCTCCTGGAGCAGAGAGTGGAGTTTTGCTGTATTAATTTCCAGCTGGTTCCTGGCTCCATCTAATCATGCTTGTCTGGTTTCTGTTATCCCTCAGATCCTGTGGGAGATCACAAGGTTCTTCCTTCTGGCGATTGAACTCAGTGTGGTGATTCTAGGCCTTGCCTTTGGTATGTGTCAGGAGGTTTTTGAGTGCTTTGAATGTTTCCTATTCCCTTTCTTTACACAGAGGCTGCATCTGTAAGTTTGTGGAGGTGCTGATTCTATAAAGTGAAGGAGCCCTAGAGTAAAAACAAAGGACAAATTGGGGATTTTTAATTAGAAATGGCTGAAAGCCTGATTATATTTGCAGATCTATGGCTTGTGCGATTTCAGGGTTTATATGTGCTTTATTTGTCCTGAATGCATGTGCTGCAGGTGTGTACAGCTTAGGTGAAGATGACTTACGCAAAGATCAACAGTCTGATTTTTGCTTCAACCCTGTTTTATTTAAGATGGTTCCTTTGGGGGTCCTTCTATCCCCTCCTTGGTTGGTTTGATTCCATCCTGGCTTCCTTCAAATGCTTTTAACTGCACCTGCAATCTGCAACTCTACTTTTTTCAGTTGTACAAGCGAAAATGCTGTTTGGAGCACCTCTTCCTGAGGGTCAGAGGTAGAGGAGAGGGATTGGTAGGCATCACTGTTGCATCTGCCAGTGGGACATCTGAGCACTAGCTCTTTCATCTTTTGGGAGCTCATAGAATAATTTCGGTTGGAAGGAGCTTCTGGAGGCTGTCTGCTCCAGCATATTCCAGTGCAGATTTCTCTAAATTATGTAAGCCCTTCTCCCCTGCTCTCACCCACTCGCCCATCAACTTTTTTTCCTGAGAAGAAACATTACAACATCTCAATGTACATGATACTGGATTAATTCCTGACTTTTTTTTTTTTTTTTGGTAACCCCAGTGGAAGGACTTAGTTACTTTCTCTATATTAGTATGGGCAAGAGGAAAGCAAATTAAAACCTGTTGTTTTGTTAAGTATTACTTTGTCTGTGAAAGGCTCAACTCCAAACAGCGAAGCAGTTTCTAGCAGTTAAGTGAGCTTTAACCTTCCCTTGAAGGCCTCTGGAAATAAAAATGTTTTCCTGTATTTGTTTTGGAGAGAAATTATTTTTACCAGGGCTGGGATCACATCCTAAGTCACTTCTGTATTCCTGAATTCCAGGTCACCTGGAGAGCAAGTCGAGTGTGAAACGTGTTCTGGCAATTACTACAGTCCTGTCTCTGGCATATTCTGTCACCCAGGTGAGTACAATGGAGCAGAAGATTTAGTCTTTGCAAAAGAGGGGATTTTGCTTGGAGTTAGGCAGCTAGGTGTGGGACTCCTATCTGGAAAGTCGCAGCTTTGCTCTTTGGATGAGGTTCTGGGGGAAGACTGGATGCTTGTCACCATGTATGAGGATCCCCAGAGCATACACCAGACCGTATCTTCCTGTCCTCTTTATGGCGTGAACAGCTCAGCCAAGGTGAAGAAATGAAATGAGGTTTAGATGGATTGCCTTGTTTAGTGAATCTTGGAACAGTAGTGAGAGTTTTTTCACACCTGAGCCACAAGTTCTGAATCTAGCCTCAAGTGCCATGAAAACTAGATGGAAAGACCTGAGGTGTGCTTACCAGATAAGGGCAGTGCAGTGGGCCTCTTGTCTCCTGACTCTGAGAGCTGAGAGCTCTTGCTTCCCTTCAAACTAGCAGCCGGCTTGCTAGCTCAGCTTATTAGCTGTGTCTCCATCTCTCTGAACAATGCAGTATGTGTCTGGGTTTATTCTCCTCCTTGGTATGTACGTGGTCAGCCCTGTGTCTCTGTACTTGTGGCAGTGGCAGAATAACACACAGATCTTTGTTCCATGACCAGGCTCTTGCTTGTGGAGGCAGTGAGCTGATCATTACCACATGATAAAGCTGGAGGCGCCTCGTTAATATCAAGTGGTTGAGCTGTATCTGGGTTCAGTAGTGCTTACAAGCACTTTTCTCTCTCCACTGTCTGTATGGTAGCTTCTGTTCAATCCATTTTTCAAGAATTCAAGTGAATGAGACTGTCCTTTCCCAACTCTTGCACAAGTGGGGGCTTTTATATTCTGGATGTTTCAGCAGGAAAGGTCTACTTTAGAGGTAGAAATGGAACTCAAGTCTATTTCAGACAACTGCTTGCATCCCCTATCCTTTCAGTCTCTCTTCTGGAACGTCATTGATGCTGGTTTCCTTTAGATGCAGATTCCTGCCACTTTTTTCCCCTCACTTCTTGTCTTCAGTTTTTTCTTCTTTTCTTGTGTGAGCTTAACTTGGCCTAAGCAGGGCATTGGTTGGGTCTTAGGTGGCAGGGACAGCTGTTGTCTGAACTTCTTTAAATACAGTCTCCCTTGTCCAGACACACCACTCTAGTGAGGGTGCTGCCTATAACAGAATCATGTTGGTGCTACTTCTGTCCTAGGGCACTCTGGAAATCCTGTACCCTGATGCCCACCTCTCAGCAGAAGACTTCAATATCTATGGCCATGGAGGGAGACACTTCTGGCTTGCCAGCTCCTGTTTCTTCTTTCTGGTAAGTATTGGGCATGTGTTATGAACTCTGATAGCTTCTTTGTATTTTCTAAATGGGGTAAGGAAGATGATTTGTGTGTAATAAGGCCTAGTTCCTTCTACTGCCTGATACAGTGCAACATTGATGCTTCTCATGAGGCAGGGAAGCTGAAGCAATAAAGGTGTGGTGGGAGTGGCGTAAACTGTGGCAGCTGAATTCCAGCTGAACTTAGATGTTCTTCACTGCCTTGTTTATCAGTGACCAGCCTTTTTGTGCTGCTGGGGGTGAGGTGTGGGGCCTTTGCCATCTGCACTGGGTTTAATATCAGAGGGTCTGTGCCTCTGTCCTGAGACATCTAGGGAATGTGTGACACCACACACCACCCCTGCTGAGATTGTTGAGTTCAGTTGCTGAGCAGCTGTGGAACAGTTCTTTTTCTCAACAGGTCTATTCCTTGGTGGTGATTCTTCCAAAAACTCCTTTGAAAGACCGGATTTCTTTGCCCTGTAAGTGACTGTGGTGTGTTCATAGTGTAGATGGAGACATTGACAGGATAAAACATAGGTGGGAGTAAGAGGTTCCTGTATGTGGTTGTGCTGCAGATACATCCCCTCTGTCTCAGGGTACAGATACATGGCAAAGGACTGATAAGTTATCCCTGGACAAATAGTATGTTGTGCCTTTCGGAGAGCAGAGTAAGAGCAATTACATTGCTCCTTCAGTAGCTAAACAATTACATTAAGAAAACAAGATCTACTGCTCAATTAATGATACAGATGTAATGTAAATATATAATCTTCAGAGCCATGAGAAATGGCTTCTTAATAGTGGCTTCCTCTGAAATGCATGTATGATGTTAAAGTGTACATGCTGGTCATCCCCAGGAAAGGAAGGCTAATTGGGAGCTGCTTAATTTTTATCTGGGCATTTACTTTATTAAGATGCTTCTCTGTTTTTTCTCTTTGTTACAGAATATCTGCAGTTCTTGAGTAGGGAGAGAAGCTGTAACTAAGATAATTGCATTGGGCTGTTCTCTCTCTAAGTAGTGTTGGCATCTATGTGTGGCTACCCTGAGGGAGTGGATATGTGTGGCACATGCCACAAGCAGGTGGTCCTGGGCCTCGTCTGCCTAGTGTCCAGCATACCCAGCTGCTCCTGTCCAGGTCTCCTGAGCAGTTTTGTTAGTGCTGTACATTGGAAGGGCACAGCTTCTGCTTCAGCTGGGGGTTTTTTGTTTGTTTTTCTTAGGTTCAGTTATGTGACTGACACTGTTTCAAGATGCTTGCCTATAAAATGTTTGCATGTGTTGCCATGACCATGTGTTTTCAAAACCCATCTTGTGTGTGTGTGTATAATATACAGGAGGTTATGGTTTAGTCCACTATACCTCCATCAGTCCTGCCAGCATGGGACAGGAAAATGCAGTCTTAATTCTTCAGGAGCTCTTTAGCAGACAAGATGGTGAGATGCATCTGTTGGGTTTGCCATCTCCATCAAACAGATTTGGACCAGACTGGTGCATATGAGGTTGAGCTTCATCTGTGTCCATGTCTTTCCCACAGCCAGGAAGAGTTTTTATGTTTATGCTGGAATCCTGGCGCTGCTGAACCTGGTGCAGGGCCTGGGCAGTGCCCTCCTCTGTGTGGATATCATAGAAGGACTATGGTATGTATTGCTGGGGGAGGAGGCCTGCAGCCCAGTTTCTCATGTTGCATTTTAGTGTCCTTCAACACTGCCTCTCCCAAGAAAACAAACTTGTGCTGTGTTCCTAAGAAGGAGTAAAGCTCTTGGTTCTGTTCTGTGCCGAAAGACCTCTAAGTGGTCAGGAAACGCATGGTGGAGAGGTCTGTGGAGCTGCATGCTCTGCAGTGGTCTTGAGGTAGTGAGTGAGAGTAATAGCTTGAGTCTGCTGATGCCTGGCCATTGGCTCATGTTTCGTAGGTAATAAGGGAGGAATGCTAGAAATGGCATGGAGATAATCCTTACTTATGTCTGGAGTCTTGTTCTGCAGGGATCAGTGTCATTTCTGAGTCAAAATTGGGAGCATTGAGGCTGTGCTCTTGGTCAGACCTTGGGTCTTGGCAATGTTCCCTCTGAGTGTCTTGGAGCAGTGACACATGTTGATGGCAATGACTGTTACTTTGCATCAGTTTGAATTTGTTTAGCACAAGACTTTTACTGTCTTTTGCTTGGACACTCTGGAGGGAAATTGGATTATTCTGGGGGGATGTGACTGGTGTTCTCCAGCCATATTGTGCTTGAGTGCTAAATTCCTTCATGTTCCCTTTTGCTGTTGACAGCTGTGTTGATGCTACCACGTTCCTTTACTTCAGCTTCTTTGCACCTCTCATCTATGTGGCATTCCTGAAAGGCTTCTTTGGGTGAGTAGCCAGGAACAGGAGTTTATATTGCCATTTAATTGTTTTGCACTCAAGTTTTCCCCATCTGTAGAATAAAGGCATTGGCTAGAATGCCAGTTAGGGAAACAGTTTTTAATTTCTGGCCTTGAAGTTTTTCTTGTGTGACCTAGGGCTGCTTGCTTCTATCCAAGACTCCTCTGTACGCGAAGTAGAGCTGATAGCTATATTTCTCTCAAACATTTAGGAGGATGACTTCTTTGTTGTCTGCATCCTGTTTAGTACAAAGTTTTTCTGCTGAAGTTAACTAAATGGTTAGTGAGGGATTGAGTCCTGGAAGGTTAAATGGTCTTCTGGGTGGGTTTTGGGACAGGTTTGTAGAAAGGATCTAGGGGTTAGGTAACTCTTTGGCTGAGGACGACTCTACAATGGGCCCAAGAGTCACCAGTTAAAAGCACTTGGGAGTGTGATTCCTGGGTCCGGATTGCCACCGTGTGGCTACTCAGAGGAGATGCATCTTGGTCAGAAAAACCGGGTGTTTTAGTGTAGGCTTTAGCTTTTTTTGTCCATAAGCAAGAAACAGCAGTCTTTAAAATAACTAAGAACATAAAGTACTCCTGAAATATCAAAATGTGCCTCTGCTGCCTTCTGAAATCAGAAGGGAACAGTGTCTGGAGTTAGAGATGGAAACTGCCGATTCACAAGTGTTTGTTATTTTGGTTTTCCTGATGCACACAGGTGGAACTTGAGGTGGACTCCTGTTCTGTTGGTTTCAGTAACCAGGCTACTGTGGAGTCCAGTGGTGTTTGGATGCTGTTGCCCTCAGTAATTCAGAATTCCCAAAGATGAGAACACCTTTCCCACACTAGAGTCAAGATTCTGCCATTTTTATTTCTCTTAGGTGACTTAATCCAAAACTACATTTAGCATTACTTTGTGGCAATTTACTTTGCTAGGTATATTTCAGGACTGAAAGCTAGTGTGAAGAGTTTTTAGGGTCTGAATACATAATTTCTTAGTGCTGCTGAGTTTCAGTTAAGGATAAGTGGCTGTGATACTACATTGCTTAAGCATGTATTTTAAATCTTTAATCACTCCAGGTCTGAACCGAAGATCCTTTTCTCCTACAAATGTCAGGTGGATGAACCTGAGGATGTGGATGTGCACCTACCCCACCCTTATGCCGTTGCCAAGAAGGAAGGAATGGATTCTGGGTTCTACTCGAGCACTCAGATTGACACCACAGCCTACCTGGATGATGTGGCCTCTATGCCGTATCATGTGGGCAGCATCAACAGCATGGACAGTGACCGCTGGAAAGCCATCAATGCCTAAGGCAGAGCTACCCACTTCATATGATGCCTCCTTACTTTCCTTCCAAACTCCCTGATACCACAGCTGTTAGGATGTCCATTGGAAATCTGTCCTTGGCTATCTGCCATGGCTTTCCTCTCTTCCTTAGGATTTCCGAAACCTATTGTGGAATTAAGTTGGCAGCCCAAATCCTGTTGGAAAGAACATTTTCTGTCGCTACCTGAGAACAATGTAGAACAGTTTTGTTCATAAACGTATAAACACTGAATCTTCCTGATCCTCCATGTTCCAGATGTGAATGTGACCCAGAAGACAGGCTTGACTGGCACCTCTTTCTTTTCAATGACTGAAAGCACTTGTCTGCCAATTAGGGGAATGGCGTTTAGGGATGACGGTCTTGATTTAACTGCTGTATTGTACATATATAGAAAGAGTTTGGTGGTTGAAACCAAAGATAGTCTTCCTGGGCTTTTTCAAGCAGCATGGTTGCCTGGGTCTTGTTATAATGCGACAGCATAGGTGGTGACAGCAGTGTCTGAAGAGCGAAGCTGGTCAGCTGGGCTCATCTCTGGTTTCAGCTAATACTGTTGAAAATCATAAACTGCAATTGCTAGGGGTTAAAAGGAGTGTTCCGAGTGTGTGGGGAGGAGAAGAGAGGTATGAAGAGGAATGAACTGTTCTTTGTGCCCTGGGAGCATTTTGGGGGGCTAGTAGCTAGCAGTATGGATGTGAACTGACTGAACAATAGGGAGGCAGAAGGACAGACAGTGCTGCTGTCTAGCTGAGCTGAAATAGCTGTGAAACAGTCTATGGAGGCTGTACGACTGTGCATCTGAGCTCACAGGAAAATCTAAGTAACAACACTGAATCAGGGCTGAGTTTCAAGAATAAAACCTGTGAGGTAGGTGCATTCTCCATCTGCACCCTGCTTCATGGCTATGGCTCTGGCAGGGTCTTGGTGAGTGCTGTGAAGGAGGAAGCTGACTCTGCAGATGAAGGCTCCAGAGACGCTCAGGTGCTTGAGGCAGAGCAGAAGCCCATGATGAGTCCGAGCTGTCAGTATTTAGTGACTGGAACCTCTCAAACACCATAGGCATGCTAGAATCAAGCTGGCTGGTGTTCTAAGTTGGGAGGCAAGTGGGAGATGGATGGGTTTCTCTGGCAGTGTCCTTCTCTTACGTTTCAGTTCAGATCCCCAGACTTCTGCTAGACTGAATAGGTTTTATGGCTCAATAGTTTGAAGATACTTAATGTGCATGTGGAGTGTGATGCATTTAAAGACTATCTGGAACTTCTTATTAACCTCTTCTGTGCCGGAAAAGGGACTACTGTTGTCCAAGCTGTCTGGCATGTGGTTTCAAGGGCTTGTGTTCCAGTCCAGGGACTGTTCAGCCGAAAGCTGCATCAGGCTGGTTTCTGGGACATACTGTGCTCTCCAAGGATGAAGAGGTGTATTCCTCTAGCTTAGGGGGTGCTTTCCTACCTGAGTCCTCCAGGTAGGTGGAAGTCTGCTATAAGCAATAGCAACTTTCCAGTAAGGATGATAGAAAGAGGGAATTTGAAACATTTGGGGACTGTGTGAATCTTTGCCCCAACTCACTGCTGTTCCTGAAGAATATTGAAGTAAGAGTTTCTGGGAAGTAGTCATGCAGGGTGCAGCGTGGAGGTGTTAGTTTGGATCATGAGCAGGTAGAGGAAAGCATTTGCTACCAGGTGTTCCCACCATAGGGAAAGAAAGTTCGGGTAAGAACACGAAGTTCAAATTGGTTGCCAAAACTATGCAGGCCCTTTGCTTATCTTTTTTTGTTAATGAGCAATGCAGCCTCTCTGTTCCGCCTGCGGACTTTGCCCTGCAGGTGTCTAAGTAGCACTGGCACCTTGAAAACAAACCCCCCCCCCCCTTTTTTTTTTTTAAATTTACTTTTGAGGAAAAAATGCTTAAGTTTTGTCTATGTGCGAGAGCTGAATTGTCTCATGTAACTCAACAGCCTTTCACATTTCCCCTCTGTGCAATGACTATGCAAAGGCTGGACAAGCAATTGGCCAAGTCAGCCCTTGCCACATTAGAGAAGTGTTCCATGCTCCTCCTGTCACTTGCTGTGAATTGGCCTGAGCCACGCTTGTTTGCTTACTCTAAAAGGGATGGATGACGTGGTGCCTGAATTTCCCTGCTGCTGCTCCTAATGCTGCTTACAACACTGATCCCGAGCTGCTGTTAGAAAGCGTGGGGAAACCTGCAAAGCTTCCCTGGAGTTGGTGAGCCTTGAACAGAGCCAAGAGATGTGAAGGTCTTAAAGCAGTTGAGAAATAAAGGAGCAACTGCTTTTCTGTCCCAAGGAGTATTTGCTGACTCTCAACACCCTGACCGAGAGGAACTTACCTGCCCTCCTTGGTGATGTGAAGAGCAGGTTATGAGTTTGCCTTTTTATCAGCTGAATTCAGTGCTGAAGGATCACCTGTGCAGGTGGTCGACATGTCCATCCTGTCCTTTGCTGGCAGGACTCCAGTATTTCTGGAGTGCCCCATGTTCTGCTGCTGAGGAGCTTCTGCGCTAGGTCATGGACTGACCTTCCTCCTGTTGTATTTTTATGTATATATAATGCTATGGGCCATATTCAAAATGGTCCTTGAGCAGAAGTGTGATATGTGTGGGGGGGTTAAAAAGAGAGAAAATAATAGAATAAATGTATATTTTTGTTTGTAAGATAAAGAAATAAAATTGTTTGGCATAAATGGTCATACTTTCTTTCTCAAATGATCCATGTTATGGAGAAAAAATAACTTTCAGATTTTTTTTTTAAATCCCTAAACAAATATGGCAGATAATAATGGAATAACATGATGTCCTTTTGTCAGAGATGGATTTTTCCTTCTTGGAAGGCTATTACTAGGACAGCTGATGACTCTGCAGATTGGTCTCCAGGTCTAAATAATTGTCAGTGAAGCCTTTGACTCTTCTCTTGGTAACTAGATCTTGCTGTTCCTGGGCACGTCTAGCATCAGGGGTCTTTGCTATAGGATATCTTTGTTGCTTGGGAAAAGGCTTATGTGGAAGTTGGAATTGACTCTTGCTTATTTCTTGTTCTGAAATGAACCCTGTGTGTCAGAACTAGTTTTCTGGCTGCAGGGAGGACATGATAGCTGCTGAGTAATAGCTAAGCATGCTGGCAGTAATCAGCACCCATCAGGTTCTCTTTGGTGGGGGTTTACAGGCTGGGGAAGTGGGGTGAGCTTTGTCTCTACCTTGGGATTGGGTCCTGCCCTTGTGCAATAAAACCTTTTGGAGCTCCTTCCAGGCTCCGTGCAGAGAAACCTCTGGGTTTTGCCCTAGGAGGTGTTACCACTCTAGTTAACTCTGATGGCATCCTCTGCTCCTGTGTAGGTGGAGAGGACATTTAAATTGCTGTACAGCTCCTCCACCATTATCATGGCTGCTTCCACATCAGTGTCCTGCAGGTAGTGGGCCCTGGTGAGTGTCCTTAGGCTCTTGGAGAACACAGGAAGGCATGGCTGTAAGTGGGATGGGCAGTTTTGTTTGTCTTTGCCCACTCTCCCTCCTGGATCTTTGCAGGTGATGCCTGCCACTTGACTGGAGTTACACCTGAAAAAGGCCTAAGGAAGGGTGACAGGAATATTCAAAGTTACAGGAAGACTTTTGGAGGAGTAATTACATGGTTGAGAACACGCCAGCCTGGAAGAGCAACGGTGCAGGTCTGTGAAACCCTGAGAGGATAGAGGAGGTGAATAAGGAATGACTTCACGAGCTTTTTAGTACAAAACCTGGGTGCCATCAAATGAAGTGAGCAGGTGGCAGATGAGAAATAAACAAGGCTGGTGAGAGCGTTCTGGGAGGGATCATGGTTTGCCTTTAGCCAGACCTTTGCTCTTGCACTGGATGTGTGCAGTGTTTCTGTACTGCAGTGCAAATAGCTGATGGTACCATGATGCGGGGCCCTTGTCTTGAGAACTCGAGCAATGGGCCAAGTTCCCAGCGTACAAGGTATTACACAAATAACAAAAATATTCCCATCTTCCAGGAACGTGCTATAGAAGAGGCCTGGATAACCTGGGGGGCAGAGTCCCACTGCTGAGTGCAGGCTGTGGCTGCCACGTTAACTGCAGTAAAGAATAAGCATTGAACAGTTAAAACTGCTCCGATGCGCTGCTAAGAAGTAGGTAAGTAGTGCGTCGATACTGAGGTTTTGTTAACTGTCTAGTCACAAATGCACGAAATTGTATAGGTCATCACGTGGCCTGTATTTCTGGGAATGCAGAAAGTCTGCTTGGAAAAGATCCTTCAAAGCTGCCGCTTCTTGATCCAGCTGCTTGTGTGTTACATTATCTTCTTTCTCATTCCTTTGGCTTAGGCTGGGGATCAGCCGTGCCTGGCAACGGGGACGTTATCTGCAACGGCCGGACCCATGCGGGACCCACACACGCGCCCGTCACGGCAGGTAACGGCACAGTCAGTAGGTCTTGCTGGAACAGGGCAGCTGAAAGGAGCAGAGAGGTGAATTCTGCCCACTGAGCAGCTGCTGTAAAATCGACTAGAGGTCGTAGACTGTAATTTTATTTTTAATCACCAGAGAAATGCGAGCTGATGTGTTGGGGTGGTGAGCTCCCCTGAGGACTATGGAGAGAAACGGCGTGTGGGAAGGTGGGCGAGGGATTGCTGGTGAGGTGAGGGGGATGCCCTCCCTCGCTCCTTTGGCGGATGCCTTGTCTCCATGCTGCTGCGGGGGAATCGCCTTGGACATCCACGGGGACTCGACAGCCCGTGAACTGATGGACAATGGTTGGATGGTTCCTCAGTCTTGGAGCTAGGAGATAAGCTTCGTGCCATCCTGGCTTATCTTCTGCGTGGTTCCGTGTGGTTTGGTTTTCTTCCTGCGGCAATTCCGACGTTGACGGGGTGGTTTGATCCTGTGTTCGAAGCGGAGGTGTGGAGGGCGGGCACAGCCCTTGGCGCAGGAGGGGAGGAGGAAGCCTAGTGAGCCCGGAGACGCTTCGGTACCTCCTCGGGTATGTGGCGGGGTGAGGACAAAGCGGTAACCTCCCCGGACACCAGCTCTCTCCGGGCCCACTCAGGCCGCCCGCGACCCGGGCACCGCAGCCCGCGCAGCCGCCGACGGCGGACTACAGCCCCCAGGCTGCACCGCGGCTCGCCGCCAGTACCGCGCCGCGCTATTGGTCGTCCCGGAGCCGGCCGCCAATGAGGCGCGGGTATGTTGGCCAGGCGGCGGAAGAGGAGAGGCGCTCTTCGCAGCGGCGGCCCGGTGCGAGTGGGGGGCGCGGCGGGGAGAGGCGTCCCCAGCGCCCGCCCCGCCGGTATGGGGGGCAGCGAGAGCAGCCACGGCGGCAGGAAGGTCTCCTTCGGGCTGGATGAGCGGGAGCAAGTCCGGGTGCTGCAGGGCATCAGGGTGAGGCGGCCCGAGGGTGTTCTGGGGCCGGGGGAGGAGGGCAGGGACCTGGGCTGAGGAGGGCCCCGCTGGAGTGGCAGGGTTGGGCAGGGAGAGCAGGGGAATGTGGTGCAGGGGTGGAAGGGGAAAACCAGCAAGGAGGAAGGGGGGGAAAACTGGAAGGCTGAAGGAGTAGGGGGTTGGGGAGGCAGTGGGATGACTGGAGAGTGGTGGGAAAGAGGCTGAGTGCCTGAGCATGGCTTTTCTTGAGCGGTGACACACCAGCCCTTTATTTCCCCTTCCAAACTCTGCTCTCAACCCTCTTTCCCTCCTCACTGCTTGATGACCCCATCTTGCCCCTGCCTTGTGCTTTGCAGGCAGCTTGATGCTAAAGGCACTTGCTTGGCTCTGAGGGCATCCAAGAGGAGGATACCTCTGCAGTTATTAGTGATACCAAGAGCTTGGCAAAGCACTGCTGCCTGAACATACAGGGAGATGAGAGATTGTGGGGCTTAGTGAGATAAGGGGAGTTTCTAGGAGAGGCAGTGGGAAGCTGCTTCCTGAACTTTGATCAGACATCTACATGTATGTGTTGTGAAAACAAGCCTTAGAGAGTGGGGGTGGTATCATTAAGGAACATTTTTTTCCCCCATCAAGATTTCTCTCCCTATTTTTCATTGGTTATTTAAGGTTTTTTTGAGTTTGTTTTATTTGTTTGTTTGGTTGTTTTTTTTATTACTACCATCATTTTCATTGCTGGCGCTTCTTCATACTTTTAGCTGGTTTTCCCCTAAGATTCGTCTGAAATGAGCTTGCAGAGTGTGTTTTGCTGTGGTTACTTAATTTTCTTCCCATTTGACTAATCACACGACAAAAGTTAACTAAGATTGTGTCAATCTCCTTTTTAAATTGTTTGATGGAGGTGAAGTTGTTCTTGCCTGATTTCTCTTTACAGGATATAGGCAGGGACCCCTCACCTACCATCGATGTAACTTGTTCTGCTGCTTTAATTTAGTTAGCAGCTCCATCAACTAGATGCTGATGGAACTAGAGGAAAATGTGGCTTTGTTGTTACTGGTTTGTTTATGACCTCCAGGAGCTCAAGATGAAGACACCCTATGTATCTCATGACTGCTGATTAGGTTAAGTGAGCTGTGGTCTTTGTAGACCTTTCTGTTTGCCTTCCTGAAGTCAAAGTTTTTCTTTTTTCTTTTTGTTAGTTTGTTTGCTTGTTTTGTGAAACAAAATAATCCTTCCCCATTCTTAGTACCAAGGATGTTATTTGGTTTTTTTGCAGCTATGTGTATAAAAGTAATTCCATTGAGCCTGCCCTTAACTAAGTCTGGCTTTTAACAGATTTGTGTTTTTAAAAAACAGTTACCATAAACAGGAATTTGGCATGATAACAACATATAATGAAGATGTTAAAAATGCTGTTAAGTTGGGTAGCAGTGGCATAGCTGAAAGTAAGTCTTCTGCTGTGACCAGCC